GCAGCACATCCCCTTCATGGTGACCTGGGCCTCTCTTCAGCCCTGTCTCTCAAGACCTGGCTGTCCCTGGCTCAGACACACTGCAGACCTTCTTGGACCAAGAAGCAATATGAGATCAAACTGCTGCTTGGGAATGAAAGAACCTTGCAGACATGACTGCTCCTTTCCCCCAGCATCCACCCACTTTTTTCAGGAGGTGAGGAGAGACAGGGGCCCAGCCAACTCTTTTCTGGAGTTACCAGGCAGAAATGCGAGTGTCATGCCAAAAGAATGGGGCTGTGGTGGGGAACAGAGCCATTTTTCCACCCCTTACCCTGCAAGAAGGCTGCTGAGAGCAGGGCCACCACAGGTAAGGTTGTGGGGAAAGGGTGGTTTTTATGAGCTGCTTCACAACCGGGAATCACTTTTGAGAGATTCCCGCATTTAACTCACACCCTGCTGGCAGTTTGCTGAACATCTGAAGAGGTTTCAAGGAGGGCTGGGAACTGTGGGAGTATGTCCTCTCCCTGGCCAGCTGCACACACAGCCATGGGTGCTGCTCTGGATGGTGAGCGCTCTGGATGTGCCAGGCTGTACCTTTGAGCACAGGGTGCAGAAATGGGTCCTGACAGCAAAGCCAATAGTCTCCCCCCAGCCCGTCATCACTGGGCCTTTAAACCAGAGCTGAAGAAATCTGCGGAGAGGAGCTTCGCAGTCAAAAAGAAGAGGAAGGGCCTAGGTGTGCTGCTTTTGACTGGGGTTCAGTGGCATGAGGTCTGCAAGTCTGAGTTACAGGACAGTGATGAGCAAACCAGGACCTGTTGGAGTTGTTAAAGAGCTGGGTGTGGGGCAGGCACTGCTGCTTTTCTTCAGCTATCCCTGGCCAGGAGCCAGCGACCCTGCTGTGTTCCCCAGGGCAGAGCAGCCCAAGGTATAGTGGAGCCCTGTGCAAATTTTCAGTCCTTTCTCAATTTCCAGCCCTTCCCATTCTTCCCCTGTTGCCTCCTTGGGCTGGGGACCAGGAGACAAGTGCTGGTCATGTGGGAGAGCAGAGATGTGTTGCTGCACATCACTGTCAGCAGTGGCTGTACTTGGTCCCTTCAGGCCCTCTCTGAGGGACGCAGGGGAGGAACAGCTCCTTCGCCAGCTCAAACAAGGAGCAGAAGGTTGTGTTTGCAGAAAGGGGCCTCATACCAAGGGAAGGAGGGAAAAGAGGGAGCATGACCAACCCAGGTGCATTTCCCTGCAATTGCTTAACTTGAGCTTTTTACCTCTAAAAGTGTCGTAAGATAATTCATGGCATGTCAGCTCCGCATTTTCCATCTCCAGTCGAAGCCAAGTCCTTGGGGTACTGTAACTGCACGGTGTAGCGGTGCCAGCACAGGGACACAGCTGTGCATGGGCAGGGGGACGTTTTCCTTGTTCAAACTCACATTGGCAGGCGTGTGGCAGGTAATCATTAAGACGGCCACCTGCTGTTACCCCAGCTCTGCTTAGCTGGGGCTGGATCTGCACAGCCTTCCCCAGCTTGCATGCATGCTCCCCATGTGTACTCCCCCAGGTGTGTCTCCATCCCATGGGAGGCCAGACACACCTCTGGACCTCCAAAACCTGACTGTGAAGGAGAAATGGGGCCCTTTGGAGACAAGGGCAGGGCTCTCCCCCAGAAGTAGACTGCCCTTTTCCTCACACCCCTCATCGCAGTGATCGCATTTGGGAACATTTCTCTCCCCAACCATAAATTTGACACCAGGACTGCTGGAAATCTCTCATTGCCATGGTTACTGATGGTCCTTGCAGCCCAGACGTGGGCCAAGCGCCAACACATTGGGGTCTGGGCACTGAAGCAGAGCGGGCCCCTTCCTCCCAGTCGCACGTCTGCTTGGTCCCTGGGCAGCAGCCCAGGGAGGCTGGGACAATTTGGTGTGCCTTACACCCGCTACAGATTCCCACTGTTAGCTCTGGGCAGGAGCTGAAAGGCTGAAGGCAATGAAAGGGAGGCACGGGGGGTGGAAGGGCCAACACAGACGGAGAAGGCTCCTTCTCCGAGTGGAGAAGGGGTGGCAGGAGCGACAGGCAGGCTGCCAAGCTGCCCTCAGGAATCTGAGCTAAAGGTATGAGTGTAGCTCCTCATTACCCACCATGTCCATCCCCGGCTCCCCCACCAGCACACCACAGGCCAGAGCGATTATCTCCCTTTTGCAAAGGAAACACTGCAGGAGAGATGGTGTTGGCCGCAGTCAACCTTACAAGTCCAGGGCTGGAAGCAGAAGCGTTCCCCATCCCCTGCTTCTGTAATCTGAGGAGGTCCTCACACTCACAGCCCTCAACGCTGCAGCCCCAGTGCTCAGCATTGGAAGGACCCCAAACGCTCCCCTCTGGAGCTGGGAATGAATGGGAAGAGCCCCCGAGCAGGCTCGAGTCCTTCAGAGCACTGTGGCTGGAGACCGCTTAACACAAAAAATTGCTAACAGAAACGTTTTGAAATCAAGAGGCTGGATGCTGCTGTAGTATCCATTGATAGCCCTGTGGCTGGAGAGGGGAAAGGGCGGGTGCCGGCCGGGCAGGCCTGCGGCCCAGCCTGCCGCCTCTCACCCCAGGGAGCAACTGGAGCAGGGCAGGAACAGCAGGCTGCCAGCTCCTGACTCACACTTCCCTTCTGGATCGCTTGGGATGGTGGTGCATTTTCTCCCTGTTCCAGGTTACACTGAGTATCGACGTATGCCACAGAGTGTAGGAGAAGGGCCCTCACGACAATGTCACTGTATCCAGCAACTGTCCCAGAGGGATGCTGTGCAGGGAAGCAGGCAAGGACCTGGCCCAGCATGGAACTCCCCAGAGTACCCCCAGTTAGGATGGGGGGCAGAAGCCTTGAGGTACAACCTTGAGGGGTATCACTCATGCAGCACCCACCCCATTCTCACGTATGCAGCTGGAGACAGGAACTAAAACATCCATCTCTTTATTTCAATGGCAAGAAACAACAACATCCAAATGGTCCAAGTTGAAAAGCGATGGGAACGCAGGCTCATGCCAGGCCCTTGGCCTGCTGGAGCCAGCACCCTCACAGAGTTACAAAAATACAGTCCTACAACAGCATCTAGGAAACACAGACCCAGGTATTGCACAGAACCCCTGCCCTCCACAGGCAGGGCAACCAACAACCCCTCCGCCAAAATACAAGCCAGTCTCGGAATTGCACAGCAACTCAGCTCACGTGTGCACAGAGGGGCCAGATGGGGAGGGGGACAGTGTGTCTCTCAACTACCTGTACAAAAACTGTAAGAGAAGATACAAAACGAGGGAGAAAGGGGGAAGCTGAGGCTGTAAATGCCTGCAGGCCAGGCTGGGCACCCGGGCTAAGAGCACGTAAGTTTGGGCAAAAGTTTGCACCTTTGAGAAGATTACGGTGCCTTGTGTGTCAGCGGCCAGCGAGCAATGCTGATGGGAACCTGGGCACTGCTGGAGCATTCCAGCTCTGAATGTGTCACGACACTATTAATTGCCAATACTGCTGTTGGCCCCTGCACTCTGTGCTGCCCTGTGCCTCTGCTCCCCACCACAGCATTCCACGTCCTCCAAGGGAACTCTGCCCCTCCGCCAAAAAGCCTGAAGGGTATTATGGTTCTCTGCAGTATCCTCATATCCTTTTTTTGGTATTGGTATTAGGAGAGATTTGAACGGTGCCATTCAGCACAAGCGGCGGGTGCAGTTCGATGTGAGTGCAGGTGGGACCACAAAGACCCCATGTGGCAGCAGCATCCTCTCGTGGGACCCACACTGCGAGGAGCAACCCGCTTTCCAACTGCTGCCCGCCTGAAGGCGCCAAGCAGGTCTGAAAGGCCCAGAGCCATCAGCTGTCCTCCTCTGGTGAGGTCCCAGAGACTGTCAGTGCTGCAAATGCCTTGCCAAAGGGCTGGCTTGGTGCCTCTCTGGATGCTCAGCACCCACAGCATCCGCAGGGGAGATGGGTCATGGTACCTCATGCCCCATGGTAGATGAAATGCCATGCCATCGCAGGCATGACTTGGGGCTGGAGCCCTGATGCTTCCTAGGCATCCAAATCCCTCTTTCTGCTAAATCTGGAGAGGGTAAGTTGGTGGCCTGCTGGGGAGCTTGTGTCTGGGCTGGGCGAGCTCTGAAGTTTTCCCTGCACAGCCCCACACTCAGTCTGGGAGATGGCAGAAGTCAGACTCGGAGGATGCTTGTTGACAGGTTGGGGGGCATGGGGGAATCCCTGAGAGCAGCACTGACCCCAGCACTGCCCCTCCAGCCCAGTGCAACATCAAGCATTGGGGAAGGAGCTGAAGCAGAGAGGGCAGCCAGATTCTAGTCAGTATTTGGGAAATGTAACAGACTCTGCTGCAGCCACTGCCCAGGCCAAGTGCAGCTCTCTACTGTGGCTACGTGCTGCAGCAGGGTTACAAAGAGAAGCCCAGCAAACACTGGGTGTGCACACTGCTCTCCCAGCCCTGCGGAGGGAAGGACAGCGGTGGGCTCGGTACCCTTCCTCCATGCCAACCCTGTCCTCGGCAAGACTGAGACTGGCTGAGCACTAAAGGCAACTGGGAGGGCAGCAGCTGCCCTGCTTCCAGCTGCACCAGCCCCAATGCTCTAAGGAAAGCCTGGGTGTGCCAGAGATCCATCCCATCCCTCCTGCCGCAGAAGGCCCCAGTAGGGCAACACAGAGACCTGGGGAAGCCCCAGAGTGACAGGAGGGGGAAGGAAACAGTGACACAAAGTCATGGTGCTTCACTTGGGGCAAAATCTGAGGCTTTCTGCTCTCTGACCACACAGCCTGTGCCTCCTGTGGCTGTGCCAGACAGGAGAGGAGGAACAGGACATGCCAAGCATCTAAAGGAGGGTCACTGATGGCAGGGAGAGGGTATGAGCAACGATACCCCACAAGGATCATAGGTAGAAGCCTGTGGAAAGGGCACCTGGCATCACTCCCATGGGTGACCTGGACCTTCAGCCAGGCCTGCCCCACCAGGGCTACAGGATGGAGCCCATCCAGGGGAGGGAATGTGGTGGATGAGGGGCAAAGGGGCACACACACAAAGAGCCAGGCTTCAAATCCCAAACACCCACTGTCCTCATAAACAGAGTCCCAGCCCAGCCTGGGGCTGAGCTCTGCTGTCTCAATCTCCTCCGGGGACCAGGCTGACATCTAAGGAGGGCTGGGCCAGACTCACAGCTCTGCCAGTTGCCATCATCCTCTTCTTGTCCTGCCCAAGTTGGCCTGGGCTAAGGCACGCCAAGCACTACACAGCTGTCTCCTGGTCCTCCCGCTGGATCATCTGGTAGTGCTGTCGGTTCTCGAGGTAGGCAGCTAAGTCAGGGTCATTGGCTTTCTCAGCCCGATGCTTGGGGGTGTCTCCCTGCATAAGGGAGGCAAAAGATGTCAGAGCACCGAGCATTGCCCAAACACTCCCTTGGCACCCAAAGGTGCCCTTGTTCCTCCACTGAAAAGGTGGCTGCAGCTGGGTCCAGCAAAGCTTTCAGACGAGTCCTGAGGTGAGCAGCAGTCAAGTGTCCAGGTGCTTGCCATGGAGCAAAAGTGTGCTCCCAAGCAGCCCAACTGCTGTGGGGCTGGAAGCTGTCCCCTGAAGGGCCACTGACCCTGCATGCAGACCAGGACAAAGACCATCCCTGACCATCACCCCTCCCCGAGAGGAGACAAAGGTTGGTTCCTGAGACCTGCTCTTCCCCGGTGCTGGGGAGGCAGGCGGGAGAGGGTGAGGAATGAGGGGTATGTCTGGGGAATGCCCGGGAATACCAACCCCCCTTCCCTCTCACAGCCTGGCTAGCGCTCCCGCTCCTGGAGGGGGATCACATTTCACCAGCTTATTGCAGCCATCTGGACTGTGTCCACTAATGAACTCCCGCACTCCATAAAAAGCAAATCTGTTAACAGCTCCCAGCTCTGTCTCCTCTCCCTCTTTCTCTCCCCCTGCTCCTCACTCCTCGCCAAGCACCCGGACTCTGCTGTGCTGCTGAGAAAAGCCGCAGAGACCTGGCACTCTGCCGCTGCCATTGAAAACAGGCCCCGGAAGGGATGCCTGGCCTGCCTGGCTCATCCCCTGCTGCTCAGCGGGGTACGGGCGGCTGCGGTGGGGTCTGGGGCCTCTTGGGCGACCCGCAGCTGTATTTCTCCAGTAGGAACAGTGGTCAGGCACACAGAGCCTCCGCCAGACCTGGATGCGGCTGTGGACAAAAGCCCACCAGCATGTGGCTGCAGAGAGGTGCGACGCACCAAGAAACTCCTTTTTTTGCAAACGCACTCCAAGATCCGGGCACACTCCACAGTCCCGCACACGTTCCCCCCACACACACGCAGGCAGGGGTAGGGAGACTGCTCTGTGCTTTGGTGTCAGCTCTCCTCAGGGGCCTCCTCTCTGCAGCCCCTGAACACAGGCGCTCATTTAACAAAGTGGGGATAAGACCAGAGGAGGAATTGAGTTTCTTTCCCGTCCCCCTGCAGAAGCCCCACTGCAAGGCTGCCCGCCCGCAGCCTGAAACCGGAGCTGCCAGGGCCCTCCTGCCCGGTGGGGCTGGGGCACACCAACCGGTAAGGCTCAGCCTCCTTCACCGCTGCAGAGTGCAGGATCAGCCCGCTCTGAATTTGTGCCACAGGGCTGACGCTGGGGCTTCTGACAAGGTGGGCTCGTGCCTATGCAGGCCCACTGCGACCCGGGGCCCACATGAGGTCAGGACAGCAGCGGAGAGGGGTCCCCAGACAGCTACAAACCTGGATGCGAGTTCACACAGGCATGTGCAAGCCCCATTCCCCAGGGCAGCCGGCATGCCTGAGCGGGGCTCCCTTTTGTGCTGGCAGGTTGAGGGCTGCTCCCCTCCTTCAGGCAGATGAGGGGGCTGGAGGTAAAGAGGGGCAGTGTCCCCAGAGCTGCCCTCTCCCCTTGCCTCTGCTGGCTGAGTCTCCAATCAGGCCAGCCCCACTCCTGGTGCTGTGCAAGGACCAAGAAGGAACCATGGAAAGCCAGAGATTTGTCTGTATGGCATCTCCCTGGCAGCTCACAACGGGGCTCTGCATTGTCTGAGGTGGCCCCCAAGCTCCACCAGCCCCAGAAAGTTTGCACCCCCCTGGCTGGGCTCCTAGCCTGTCTCCCAGACCCGCAGATTGCACCTTCTTGGCTTGTTACTACATCTCCTCTGCTACAGCCCAACTTTATGAGCTCCACCAGACAGGTGTGACCATGTCCCCTCTGTCGCCCACCAGTCCTGGAAAGCTCCTGTACCAAAACGTGTCCTCAAGCTCCCCTGTCACAGCACCTCTGCCAGGGCTGGCACAACTCCCCGGCACCAAGGCATGTCTCAAGTAACTCGGCATGCAAGGCAAAGGGCCACCACTGCTTGCCCTTGCTCGCCAGCTTCACCCACCGAGAGCAGCTCCCGGTGCCTCCATCATGACTGCTCATGGGGGAAGAGCAGGGGGGAGCCCTGCAGCTGGGAGCTCGATTGCAGGGAGAATGTCCTTGCTCTGACCCCGGAGGGTGGGAAGGGGGAGAAGGGGATGAGACGTTCCAGCCCCTGGCTTCTAATTTAATAAAACAACACTGAGAGAAGCGCAGGGAGGAGAGGGATTTAACCCCTCTGCAGCTGGGCTCTGCTGGCCGAGCATGGGTGCTTCGTATCAGCTCCTCTCTGGCTTGAAAAGACCCCAGCCAAAGTACCCTTTGCTTTGCTCTCCTGCTGCCCCATTCCTGCCAGCCTCCCGGACCCCCAGCAAGCCCCACTGCCAGCCCTCCCACCATCACCTGCAAGTCCGTCTTCATGAGTGAAGCCCCAGCCTCCACGATGTAGTGGCAGATAGTGCGCTGGCGTAAGGCTGCAGCCTGGTGCAAGCTGGTTTCGCCGCTGGGGAGGAGAAAGCAGGAGATATGAGATGTCCCCCCCAAATGAGGACATGCAGAACATGTGGGTGGCAGCAGGGGGACAGCAATTCGGCTGCAGCAGAAGTTTGTGGTGGGTGGTATGCTTGTCCATGCAGCCCTGGCAGAGGAGAGGGTACTGCTTCGGGATAGTCAGTCCAGTGTGGACTGGGAACCAGAGGGAGGTAATTAGAGCGAGGGTGGCTGGTAAGTGCCCAGTCAACTGGTCACCTGGCAGAGGGTCTGGCCAATAGGTAACACAAGTCAGTCAGCAACTTACTTCTCTTCCTCTGTGGCATCGAGGATTTCTGAAGGGGCTGTGGAGAGAAAGACAGTGCAGGGCGAGTGAGACCTGGCTGTGGGACAAAGACACACCCCCTCCCCAGTCTCACACTGCTGCTGTTTTCTTCCCATGCTGCCTGCAAATGCCATGGCTCCAAAGCACTCAGGCCAGCAATGACATCTAAGCCCAGCTGAGACCAGGGAAGAAGAGTTGTTGTGGATTCATTACAGATAAATATCTAAATAAAAATAAAGTAGCCTGTATTTCAGTGGGAGCTGCCAAAAACAACAGGTCAGCTGCCCTGAAGGCAGAAGCAGGACACCGAGAGACATGCCGGTCCCTGCAAGGATGGGACCATACCATGTAACAGCCACAGGGACACCCCAACACTGGCAGACAGGTGCCAGGGAAAGCCCATCTGCTAGAAGGAGGATGTGGCAAACCTGGAGGGGAAAGTTCCACACCCAGGAGCATTCCCTCCAAGCAGAGTGTCGGGCTTTTTCGGGTGCTCCTCTGGTCCCAGCTCACCATTCTCGATGATGTATTTGACGATGTCCTTGCTCCCCGATCTGACAGCATGGTGGAGGACAGTCTGGCCCAAGGAGTCTCGCACCATCAGGTCTCTTCCAGCCCGGTGCAGCTCTTTGAACTACAGGATTGCCAGATTGCTCAGGATTAGTTGCCTTTCCCAGCTCCAAGCCCCAAGCCCCAGCATCGTGTCCCCAGTGTGCCCAGCAGGTTGTGTGGATGTTCGGGGCCTGGTGGGGAGCTTTGTCAGCCACACCACCAAGTCCCTTCCCTCCTCGTCCCCAGAGCCTCAGAACAGGGCTTCTTGCCAGAAGCCTGCCTGGTTTCCAGCTGCTCCTGGAGGAAGGCCCTTGACAGGAGCTGCTCCAGGAGAATCACGGAGCACAACTGGCAGGTCTTCCCACAGCCTGAGGGGCACGCCAGGCAGGCAGGCTGTGGGGCAAGCACCCAGAGCCAGCCCTGGCTGCACACTGCAGGAGGCAGCGGGAGCACCTACCTTGCTGAAATTGCCACTCTTGGCAGCTTCTATCAGAAGGTTGTCTGCAAAAAAGGGAGATGAGTGGGGGTCAGAAAAGCCAAGCTGTAATGTTGTTTATCTAACTAGGGAGCCAAGGGTTGGGCACCAGAGGCTCAGCAGTCAGCTGGAGCTCCTCCAGGTGCTAACCCCTGGGTCAGATTGGTTTTACATGGCTTCTCCACCTTCAGGCATTTAAGGGACAAGCTGGGGGAAGGCGGGAGACCTCATGTAGCTGGGGGTGTAGCCAGACCTCAGCCCCAGGGAGGTGCGTGTGCAAGGGGAGCAGTCTCTGCCCATGGGCAGGATGACTTTTGATGGAAGTGGGGAGCAGATCTCCTGGGCGTCAGCCAGCGGCCGAGACGCCTCTCACCCATGACTCACTCACACTTCCAGGCACTGGGCTCTGCTCAAGCTCCAGGAAACAATTTCCATTTGCTCAGCTCGGTGAGGCCCCTGACCTTGTGCTCCCACCTCCCGAGCTCTGCAGGTGGAGATTAACCCCTCAGCTATGCCATTTCCCGCACGGTGGAGTCAGGAAGGCGCCTGGCCAGGCTACCCCACAAATCACTGTCAGGTCTCTCCTGCCCACCTCTGGGGTCACCTGCCCACAAGACTCCATGCTCCTGCCTAGCACACAGGCAGCAGGGCTCCTGCCTGCACGTCAAGGAAAGAACAAGCCAAAAAAAACATGGCAGGAGGACAAAACAGCGTGACCTAAGAGGGGGTGCGACAAGGGGTGGGACAGGACTCACCTTTGTGCGGGAGGCAGTGCTCAGGCTCAGCGCTAGAAGGGAAGATGAAAAGGTGTAACCAACCCTGCCAGTGCTTGCAGCAGATTGCCCAAAAGGGCACGCCGTGGGCAGAGGGATGGCTGTGGAGAAGCCTGCCTGCAGCACTCCTCCAGCAGACAGAAGCAGAGGCAGGCGAGGGGACTTGGTTGCTCTTTGGCCGTGCCATCTGCTCCTTTTCTTCCCCATCCCCACTTCCATTTCTACTGCTACTCCCTGCTCCATTGCTCACCCATACCCAGGGCTGGCCTCAGTTGGGTCAAAGACACCCATGCCCTTTGCCCCATGGGCCAGGTGCTGAAGCTTGACCCCAAGGCCACCTAGTGCTGCCCCACTGCTTCCAGCAGCACTGGCAGAGGAGCAGGAAAGACAGGATGGCATCTCATCCCTTGGTCTAACTCAGCACGGAATTCCTGCTCGCTTCCAGAGAGCCCTCCTGTAATCTGGCCCACAGATCAATGCTGTGAAGCCAGCCCTGGCTATCCCAACACTGCCCATCCTTCCTGAGGTCCAGCACCCCCATTCCAGACTCACCTGGGGGCAGAGGAGGAGGATGGAGAGTGGGAAGAGGAGGGGAATGCAAAATGATGCCCAGTGGGTGCGGCAGATGAGTCGACAAGGTCAGGCATGGCAGGAGAGGTGCCCACAGTCTGGGTGATCACTAGCTCTGGGTCCAGCACATAGAGCTCATCCTGAGAGATCTCTGTCACATAGTTGAGATGCTCCTGAAAGACACAAGTCAGCCCTCCTCAGAAGCAAGACCTACTTCTGCATAGCTCCATCCCCTCCCATCCCATGCCTTGTAGCCCACCCACTCCTCAGCAGAGCCATGGTGGCTTGAAGAGTCCTGGGACCTGTGACCGGGAAGCCTCTGTGTCTCCTTGTTCTTTTCAGGATTCCTATCCTTGCTAACTTAGCAGATGACCCATAAATCTCATCTCCAGGTCCCAGATCATAAGGTAAAGTATTTAATATTGGTTAAGATTATCCCAATCAGTGCATCCCTTGGCCAACCTTGCTACATTGCTATTCCTTACCCACTCCACTGTGGGACCCTGCAGGCAGCTTCCAACTCAAGATTCTGCTCCCACTCACATTTCCTCCCTATTCTGCAGGAACCAGGAGGTGCTGGGGCAGGTCCCGGGCCAGGCTCATCGCAATCCCCCTCAGAGGATGCTACAGGGCAGGGCAGCAATGCAAGACCTATGTATCCCCAAGGCTAAGTCTGCCTGTTGGTCTGCATGAATGTGGGACAGCCAAGAACCTTCCCAGCAGATGCCAGGGGGGATGATGGCAGAGGACAAGGCCACCCTCACCTGTGCACGGTCTATCCTGTAGAACCGATCGGCCGTGGTTGCTGTAAGACAGGGACAGAGCGAGACAGGGTGATTCTTGGCATGAGGCAAGAGAGACGGCCACTTTCAACCACCAACTGACAGTGAACTATCCAGGCACTTTGTGGCTTGCACAGAGGGCACAGCAAAGCAAACAGCACCCCCTGACCAGGAGTACCCCCCTTCCCTTTGGGATCCTGCTGCTGTCTTTATCTGAGAGGCAGCCCCTTGAGCCTGCAGACCACCATGTCCCTGTGCCACATGTCTTTGCTTGCGATCTCTTCCTTGATGACTCCTGGCAAGGAGCCACAGAGAAGGCAAGAACATGCCTGGCTGGCACCATGGCCTTTCTGGGTGCTTTTAGGTGCTCTAGCATAAGCCCAAGCAGACAAAGCTCAGAGCTGTGCAGTGCTCATCTCAGCATTCACTTGCACCAGGTGAGGAACTGCTCCAATTTGACGTGATGCACCTTGTTGCACAGCACTGAGAAACAGGGGCACTAAGTGGGGCTGGGAGAAGATGGAGCTCTGAGTAACTTGACTGAGTAATGTCTCAGACCACAAGGCCACATCAGAGCTTGTGACTGCCAGGTACAATGGAACACACCACCACCAGCTGCAGATGCAAGCCTCCATCTCCTAGGACAGCAGCAGAGCTTCAAACCAGCCTGCAGCCTGTTGCTGGCAGCAGCCTGTCCAAGTGCATCTCTCGGCTCGTCCTTAAAGGAGAGGTCCCCACAACAGGAGATTTGCTCCTACAAAACCCATGGAGCAAGTAGCTGTGCTGGAGCCAGATCCATGCAGCCACCACCCCCAGGGAGGCAGAGAGGGTCTGGGGACTTATGGTATCACCAGGGGAGAGCAGGACAAGCAAGAGCACAGAGCCAGGACAACTGGGTCCTCACACAGGGTGGCACTTCCCCTGTGTCCCGCCAGGCCGCTGGTGCCTGCCCAGGCAAAGTTGCTGTGGTGAGACCCTTGGGGACTTGGGGAATCCCCTCCACAAACAGAGTGGGCATGGGCCAGAGCAGATGAGAGGGGTGAAAGGGCCCCATTTGTCCTGTCCTGGCTGGAGATTTACAGCCAGGGTGCTGCTGCTGAAGGCCTGTAATTCAGCCACTTGAATGAGCCTGTGCTGCCTTCAATGAGGCTCTGGACTCTTTCCTGACACATTTTCCTGAGCCCAGAACCTGCTGCTGGGAGCCTGGCAGGAAGAGGGAAAGCGGTCCTGGTGCAGCTGTCCTGGTAGTGACATCTGGGCGCAGCAGCACCAGCAGCTCCACATGCAGGGCTGCCACCCCAAAGGGTGAAGCTGCACCCTCTCTGCCTAGCATGAAGCTTCCCAGGCCCATGGTGCACTTTGGTTGTGCTCTGCTGCTGGGAAGTCAGGGAGATGAAGTGCCACAAGGAGTCATTTCTCTCGGCCAGCTTGCAGGCACAGAGGGAGAGCTCTGGAGCCTCTCGGGCAGTGAAAGCGAAGGGAGAGGAGAAAGCTGCTTTCAGGCAGCTGAGAAGGAGCACCTGGTACAGGGGACCCTGCACCACCGGGATGCTCCTGGTGAAGCCCTCTCCTCGCGTGCTGGAGCAGGAGGGCCCCCTGCCTGCAAGACACAGGAGAGCAACTCTCGCAGTCCCACAGTGACCAGCAGACACCTCTAGCTCCACTCGTGGTCAGCAGCCAGAGACACAGACTAGGGCAAAAAACTGATGCATGTGGCTGCAAAGACCCCAACATCCGTAAGTCCCAAGTCCCACGTGGCTCTCAGTGGCTTGTCACTAAGGGTCTGTCCCCTTACTCCCCCAAATTCAGACACAGCACTCTCAGGGGAAGGTGATACTCACAGTCCAGGAAGCACCACTTGGGCGACAGCTTCTGGGATGACAGTGTCTTCGGTTTGGCTCCATCTCCCTCCTGTATAAAAAAAAAGAAGAGGATAAATGCATATCTCTTATCCTCTCCATCTATCCCCAGAGTGCCCCTCCTGCTTTGGCAAGTCCCTGCAGACATGGAGGACCACAGGTGCTTGGATGGAAAGGGGAACTTGAAAACAGGCACAGCATGCAGCAACGGGAAGCAGCATGGAGCAGACTGGAGCTGACACACAACAGCTCACTGAAGAGAGAAGTGCCACAAAACGAGCCCATGAGACTGGCACGGTGGACAGGACAGATGGGCCCGGGATGACGGAGCGAGGCCATACACACCTGAAAGAGCAGGCGCTCTAAAGCAGAGGGCTGTGGAGGGAAATCCTGCAGAAAGGCAAGGTGTGCCGTTACAGCCTTTGTCTGGGCAGCCCCCCAGCCCCTCTCTCGTCCCACTGGGGTTGTTTAATGTGCAACACACATTACACATGGCCTGGCCAAGGTCCCTGGTCCCTGCCCTGCTTTGAGGCCAGAGCACAGCGGTTGCCCAAGGGGAGTAAACCCTGGCATAAGAGCCAGCTAACTGGGGACTGATTTTCTCCTTTCAGTCTTCTGGGAGAAAATCAGACTGAGCAGTGTGGCACCAGGAGGCACACTGTGGGCTCAGAAGGAATTGGTCACCAGCAGCAAGGGTGACACAGCCTGTGGCTGGGTCACGGACTCACACTGGCACATTGGCAGGAGCACAAAAGTTAGTACTTGCAAATGCAAGACTTGAAGCAGGGGACAGCCCTAATCCAGGCACCTGGGCAGGGCAGAGCTGCGCCAGGAAAGACAGAGCCTGCAGAGGGCTGAAGGAACACAGCACAACAAAGGGGCAGAGGAAAGGCCTCCTCAAAGGCCCAGGACGTGACCCCCACAGGATCGTGCTAGATTTTTCCACTGCCCCGTAATTTTTCTGGGCCACCAGAACAAGGTCAGAAGAGTAACACTGAGAAAGAAGCTGCAAGAGAACAGGGAGCAACAGGCCATCCAAATTGGGATCCTGTCTCCACCATGTTGTGAAGGCAAACTGTGACCTGCTACCAGAAGCCGAAGTGTGTGTGCACACGTGTGTGTGTTGGAGCATGCAAGTCAAGGAGGCTTAGAAATCCCTTCCCTGAGCCCCTCCATCCAGCCATGACCACTACCCATGCAACACCTCACCTCCTGCAGCCTTTCAATTTGGGTCCGGCACAACTCCAGGTCGCTGTCTCCAGGAACCACAATGATCCCCAGCGGCACAGCTGCACGACAGGGCACAGACACGAGTCAGGGAGCAGCCTGTGCTGCATCCCCAACACCTCACACAGCCGAGCTGAGGGCACTGCCAGACTCAGGAACTGCAGCTCCCACCCCTTGGTCACTCACAGGCTTCCTTGAGCTTTTCCTTGTCATAGTGCAGTGCCTCGTAGTCACGCATGCTGATTCGGCTCACCCGGATCCGCAGCCGCTCAGGCACTGGCTGCTGGCTGCATGCAGGGAGGAACAAGAAGGGAAGGGATCAGAAAGTGACAGTCTACTTTCTTCTTATCCCACTCACCCCTGCAAAACAGGCAAGAGCACAGACTGAGCTGGGGAGCTTGGCACCACCAGCTTCTCCAGCATCAAGGTCTGGCCATACTTCTGTGACCTGTTTCCTTCCCAGGCCCTTCATGAGAGAGGATCAAAATGCCTCTGGGAGAGATGGATCAGTCCCATCCCTTCCCCCTCCATCCATTCTACTTTGGAGAGGAGGTGGCAGATTGATCTGAGGAACCTACTCATTGAGCAGAGGCATGGAGTTGCGCCGCTTGGTCTTCTGCACCATGTTGGCTTGATTGCGCAGGGAGATGTGGATGCAAGAAGCTGCCAGCTTGCAGGGCTCTCCATCTACCTGCATGGGGATGGCCTTGGACGTGGTGAGAACTACCTGCCGGCACTGGCACAGCCGCTCCCCATGGCCACCGACCTGCAAGGCAGCCTGTGAAAGGGTTCAGAGTGAGAGCAGACCACAGACTGAAGGGTGGATGGGGGGAGTACCCATCGTCAGCCAGATACCACAACTGAACCAAGTTCTGGAAGGGACCCACAGAGACTAGAGCATGACAGCACCTTGCCTACATCTCAGAGAGCAGACACTGTCACATGGGCCAGCACCACAGCTCCTCAGCAGAGAAGCCGGGGGTCTGGCTGACGCCTGGTCAATGGGAGCTAGCCAGCTGCAGCTGGCAACAGCACTGACTCACCAGGGATGTCATGGTGAAGCCAATAACTTCAATGCAGCCATCATCATGGCGCTGGGGCTCAAAGTCATGGTGCTCCCCAGGGTTGCCCCAGGGCATGGTGCCTGCACAGTACCTGTGAAGGGATGGCAAGTGATGCACAGACAGGTTCCCTCAAACCTGGGCAGGGACCTGTGGCATGGGGATGAGGAGCCCAGCACATGAGGGCAGGTCCTGGGGCTGCTCACCTGGGGATGTTCAGGAAGACCAGGCACTGGGGCTTCAGGTCCTGGATCTTAGAGGTCAGGTCTGCCCCATCGCACTGGAGACAACACAGAGGTGTTCAGACTGCTGTTAATGAGGAGGCTTGGCCCACCCTACCCACCTGAGAGGAAATCACTTCCCTATCTGCTCTCCACAGTGACTGTCCTCCACACCAAGGGAAGTCAGTGTCCCCACAAACACATCCTCTCCCCAATCCCGAGATACCCAGTGTGCCAAAGGAACACACTCCTCACCCCTTGGCAGCTCAACCCCCTCCCTGGCCCAGAGCACCCCTGGACACTCACAACCAATTTGATGTGCTTTGCCAAGTCTTTGGAGCTCCCTGTGAGGAAGTCGGAGAAAGCCGTCTGCCAAGGCAAGAGACAGCATTAGCACCCACACGTTCACTGAAATGGGCAGCCAGGAAGCCTGTCACCAACCTTCAGACCTCAGCTGCTGAGAGCAGCAAATCCCTTCAATGTCCATTGGCAGAAGCCCTATCTTCTCCCCTCCCAAAACAGATCCATTCCTCTGGCCATTTTGCCTAGCAAAAACCTTGGGACACCTTTAGCAACACCCTCCAGTATTTCCTTGCCAGCCCAGTCTCAGCTTTAGGGAAGAGCTGGCAAGGTGGGTCAAGGAGGAGACTCTAGTGAGAGACTCTAGTCACAAGAGACAAACTCAGTCTCAAGCTGCAATGAGGTACCATAAAACAGAGCTGATGTGATCCCATCTAGAGATACCAGGAGAGACAGTATGGCCTCTTTTACATAGATCATAGGTTCCCCTTTGGATTTAACTGTACAGAGAGGAGACACAAACAGGAGAGATGTGAGAAGGTACACAGCAGCACTTTGGCCTTTAGTCTTGTTCAAATACTGGTCACCCAGCCACCTGGGTAGGCAGGTATATTGAGGATGGGGGGGATGGACAAAGAAAGATACCACTGAGACACAAAGCTCTAGGGGTGAGATACAGAAGGGTGGCATAATTAGCCAGGGAGCTGTAGCTGGTCTAAGGTATAAAATACAATACCAAAGCAGTGTGGGGACTCTATGGAAAGGCTTCCCATTCCTCTGCAGGGGGCACTGTGCCTGCCCCCCCACAGCTCCAAGGAGGTCCTGCCTGGGTGACCATCCATGAGTTGGAGAGCAAGAACAATAGTGGCAGGAGATCAAGACAGCAACTGAATGGCAGGCCAGAGAGCAAGCTGTACTGCCAGCAGCACTTGCGGCCAAAGAGGAGCTGCGACTCCCAGGGCTGCAGCCTTGCTTCACGGAGGCTCAGCGTGGGTGCACGTGAAGGCCTTTGTAACCCAGACGAGTGAGTTGAGGGTGCAGACAGGAGATGGGGCCCGTGCTCCAGCTGATGCTAAGGCTGCTGTGAAGGCATGCCCTGATACCCTCCACGCACTCACCCCAGCATAGAACATTTTATTCCGAAACCGGCTGTTGAACTTCTCCGGGTTGGCCTCTAGGGAAAGGAGAAAAAAGTCCAGGTCACTGGCCTGCATGCAGAAATACTTTACTTGCCTGCTCTCTCACCACAGACCCTGCCCCAGCCCTGCCTCCCCCCTGTACCTCGGGATTCGTGGAACTCCAGTGTCACCCGTGCGTCAAAGCCAAGACTGAAATAGTTATTAAAGACATCCAAGGGGAGCTGAAATGGAGAAGAGGAACAAAGATGAGATTGCCAGTGTGTGGCCACACCAAAGACAAGATCAGGCTACAGCAGAGCCATGCACTGTGTTCATGAGGCTGAGGGGAAAATACAGAGGTCACCAGCCTGAGATGATGGACTGGCCCCTGGCTCCTAGGGGCAAGGGATGTGACCCAAGGGGACATAATCTGGTCTCCAAGATACCAGCAATCACCCATGTTTCTGCTAAAGAAACAGTTTCAGAGAGGACTGGGCTTATAAGCATGTTGCAAGCTGTGGTTAAAAACTTCAGGTGGACATTCAGTCCAGATCTCTACATTCCTCGCCATGAGTCAGAGCCATAAGGAGAGGCGTGGAGCTGCAGCAGGGAAATGCCAGCCCAACACCCTGCCTGAGCCAGTGGGAGAAGGACAACACAGACCTCCAACACAGGAAACAAATGTGGAGAGGAGGTGTCCCACCTTCTCAGTGGCCGTCTCATCCTTTTCCTCAGGGTTCGCATCGGGGTTTGGCTCCACATGGAGGTTCCAGCGATCGAGCTGCACAATGTTCCCATCTTCAACGTGCGACAGGATCTTGGACAGAGGCTCATCTGTGTAACCCTGGTGAAGAGTAGGACTTGGTGAGCCTCCTATCTGCCTTCTGCAGAGGTGTCTTCTTCTTTGGGAAGGACATCCCATAACAAAGGATGTGGAAAAGATTGATTCTACTTGGATGTTCAACAAAGTGGGACTTTAAATTTAAAAACAATACATCCTCCTTCTAAAAATCTCCCCAAATTTGAAATAATGATTGCCTTTGTTAATGCCCTAATACATTATAACTCAATTCAGAATAATTCAAAAGTCAGACAAAGAGTAACATCCAAACTGCACTTTTTTGTTGGTCTGTAGTTAGGGAAAGTCAAAAAGGCAGTCAGTGCAAATCCCCACCCATGTGTCTGAAACTGGAGCTGAAGCACTCAGCCCCCATCATCAGCAGTGAGCTCTTCTGCCCGTCACTTACCCCTCCCCAGTTCAGCGTCCTGGCCAAGTCATTCCCTGTCCCCAAAGGTAGGATCGCCACAGGAGGAGGTGGGTTGAGGCGTAACTGGTCCAGAATGGAGAGTATCCAGCCCACCTGCTCGAGCAAGAGTGCACCACGAAATGGTTGGTTATGTCAGGGACCAGCAGGCAGAGGGAGGTGACTCGGAGCACTAGCCATGGCAGAGGGGCAGAGATGGGGTCCCCTTAGCCACCACTGAGGCTATTCACTGTCTTTAATGCTCCAAACAAGTGCTGAAGGAGGTACCAGTAATCTCAGTGAGGACACTGGCCTCAAAAAGGGCTACAAATCCAGACGTGCCATAGACTAGCACACTCTGGAGCAGTGCACAAGGAGACTCACAGTATTTGGTGCCACCAGCTGTACCATGAACACAGTGCACACGTTTTGCCCTGTTCTGGATTACAGTGAGGAGGACTGTTGCTGGCACTGGAAAGGCCTGGGGTGAGAGGTACTGCAGGCACAGAGGGGCTGGGGGACTCACCGTGCCGTCTCCCCCGCATGCCAGGATCCGGAGGTTGTGAACCTTGCGGTACAGCTCCAGCCTGCAAGGAACAGAGAGGATAAGGAGAGGAGAGCAGAGGCACAGAAGGTGCTCCACAGCAGCTGCAGTGCTCCCTGCCCTCACAGAGCCTGTGGCATTCACACAGCCACATGTGTGCCTCCCTCCCCATCGCCACAGCAGTTCACAGCAGTGACCACAGTAACTTTGGCTCCACCAGCTCTTGCAGAGGAAGAGCAAGTCTGTGTACACATAGGTAAGCCAAAACACAAGCAGACAAGACCCACATGACGTTAATGTAACGTAACGAACTAGATTTGGGTATGTCACCCTAAAGCTTGTCTCTTTGCCACTAGCCTTAAGATTAGACCAGCCCTCCAGCAGGAAATACTGCAAAGGTCAGGACTTGCCTCAAGGTATCCTAGAGACTCGTTGGAGGTCTCTTTGCACAAAAGAGGTATGGAGCATCAGGCATCTGCCCGCTGCAGGAAGAGCTCTGGGGAGGGATCTCTGGGGCAGGGACAGGGGTTCTGCCCCCATCAGTACTCACGCCTCCTTGGGTCCACCCTGGCTGAGGTCGAAAACTTGCCGGGGGTTGAGATACCACATGAAGGACTGGATGATTTTAGCTCCCTGTGAGGACAAGCAAGAATTCAGCAGGGAATAGGGAGTTCCAAGTGGGCAGAGGGAAGAAGGCATCTGGTCTCAAGGACAGGCCAAGACAATGGCATTCTGGAGGGACTCAGGCAAAGCCTGGCCTAGGTGGGGGTTGTCGGGCAGCAAACTGGCATTGTGGAGGTTGCCTTGCCTCTTCTGCAGCTGAGACATTACCAAAACTATGCTGAATCCTCAACAGCCAAAAGGCAATGCCCCCATAGAGCTGCATTCTCAGGGAGATACAGGACAAGGCCCTACCTGATTCCCACCGCTCTTAGGGTTCACAAACACCAGCAAGGGCTTCATAAGAGGAGCTGGCATGGGCTTGATGACAAACGGTTTCCACCTCCCTTCCTGCAAGAGACAACACAGATCCTTCAATGAATCTGAGGAAATGCAAACTCCCACCTCCAGCTGAGCCCTAACATCACGCATGGTCAGAAGTGGAAGAGAAAACATCCCAGCCACCTGATAAGCCTTATAGCTGCAATGTGCCCTGCTAGCAGACATCCTCCCTCCACCTCACCCTCCTTAACCTCAGAGCAGACATTAAACTCAGAAAAGTCCCCTTGTTTCCCAGTCCTGCTCCTGCCTGCCCAGTCCCTCCACCCTTCCAACACAAGGTGGTTCCCTGTCCCCTCATCTCTTACCTCGGCCCCTTTTTTGCTGGATTTCCGCTTGAACGATGTCCGCTTCTTCTTCTTACTAGATTTCAGTGGGTTCTGGAGAGAAAAGAAACCCCCAAAATCCATGAGCTGCTGCTGGGCAAGCAGGTGTTGTGAAAGAGCCACAAGAGCTGAGGGGAGTTACCTGGGGCCGTCGGACCCGCAGAATCCAGGTTGGAGGAACGACAACAGCAGCATGAGCCCCCAGCGAGCAGGGCTCTTCAATGTGTTGCAGCATGAAACACGACACTTTGCTATGATACTGCGGAAGGACAAGAGGAGAGAGAGAGAAAACTCGGCTACTCAGTTCGCCAGGAACAGCCACCTTCTCCTCCTTCCAGCTCCCCCATGCCAGTGCAGGGAGCGCTGGAGGAACCATGCAGGAATTTTGTAATGGGAAGGCAATGAGGAGAAAGTTTCTCATAGGAGCTCCACAGTACAGCTACCACAGTACAGCCTCTCCCAGTAAGAAGAGCTGTTAAGGGCAGGCTGCAGAGAAGCATCTTGGGAAGTCCCAGCAGAAAGCAGAGGTCATTAGATGTGGAGCAGGTTGGTAAGGTGTTCAATGGGGGCTTTGCTCACCGCTTGTTTGCACCAGGAACAGCTGATGGCTACAATCTCTTTACTGTGGAAGGCAAACTTCTGCTGGAAACCCTATGGAGGGAAGGAAAAGAGGCTCAGGGAATTCCCTCGCAGCTTTCTACCACCCAACACAACTTTCACACGACCAAGAGAGACGTTACCAAAGAGAGCATGCCTGCAGCTGGAGCCTCCCGATCTCTGTCAGATAACCCCAACCACCACTACAGCACCAGGGAGGCCACTGTGCTCTGCAGGGGTGTCCCTATTGCCCAAGGAAAGCATATCAGGAAGAGAGTCCCCTCCAGGATTGACTGGGCCCAGGGGACAAGTCTACGTGGGAAGCACTTACGTAGTGCTTCACTGTGCAAAACAGAGCAGGCATCTTGGTGCTGTTGTAGGCTGCTGCTGCCAAACAGGAGTGGTGGGATATCTCTGTCTTTGATTTGACCTTAGATTTCCTTCAGACTGAGAAAAAAACCCAACAGATGCCCTCTTACCTTGCCACACTGCCGGCATTTCCCTTCCTGCCTCCTTCGGTGTACCCAGTGATGCCGGACAACTATGGGCTTAAGAAAAAAAAAAAGAGAAAAAAAAAGTGAAAAGCCCAGCATGAGAGGGCAGGAACAGGCAGGAGAAATAGACCCAAGCCAGCCAAGACCTCAGCTTTTGCAGCATGCACACCTGCTGCTCACATATGCCAGCCCCAGCACTCTGGGAGAAGGCAAAAGTAAGTGAAGGACAAATAAAGGAGCTAGACCAAGAGTGACGTGAGGAGGAGGGCCTCACAACAGAAGAAGCAAAGGAAGAAAAGAAAGGTTTAAAGTGATGTTGAAAGCTTCACCTTACCAGTTCACACTGACATTTCTGAGCAAGCAGCCCTGTGTTTGAGTACCTTTCGCCTACTGTGTCTGCTGTGCCAACACAAACACACTGTGGAGGCAGCAGCTGTGTTACCATAAAGGCCCATGACAGAACCTTTGACACCCACACCAGAGCACCCCATGGGCTATGCTGGCTCTACAGGCTGGAGGGTGAAGCATGAAGGCTGACAGGTACCTCTACCACTGCAGCTCAGCAGACAGGTCCCAGGCCAACACTTACACCCACTACATTAAAACGTGGGATAAAAGGATCTGACAGCACCACTGTGGGCATCTTCCAGATACCTGGAGTACCTGTGGCACCCACATCAGGGCTGAGTGATAAAGCAAGAAGTGAGCCCATATTGCACCCTTCCAAACTCTGGGAGACTTGGGGACCCGCTGTTTGCCACAGCCTTCTCTACTTGCTTGGGGAACAGCACAAGGGGGAAAAAGCTCTCCCAGAAACAACTGTTTGCAGATTCTGCCCATACAGATGCAGAAGCTTTAGAACATACAAAACCAGCAGATGCTCTGCATTTGCTGTCGTGAGCTCCTCACTCCTCACACCCAGACTGTGCTGCTGCATTGCAAAGAAAGATCCCTTTTACTGCAACATCCCCTATGAGCTGGGAGGCAGCACAATGACTGCACTCTGATGGGCAATGTGCTGGAAGCATCTGATGCCTTTGCCACCAAACTGGGAAGGTGAGGGGTGTCAGACATGGGGCAGTATCCCAGGCACATCTCTCACCTCCCGTACGTTCCGGGATCCTGATTCCCTGAAGGAAGGTTTGCAGCGGAAATTTATCTGTAGATTGAAAACACACGAGAGGAATCAGTAAAAGCATCACACCCAAAGGAAACCTACTGGAGTTTATTTTACTACAGCAGGCCCAAAGACTCTGAAGATGTTTGGTGCTTGCCACAAAACCTCCCACATATCTCTGTTACTGAACAAAATTGAACCTGGGTTCCCAATCATGTCACTAGGTGGTCCTTTTTGTAATGTCTCCTCAGAAGACTGCTCTCTGCAATGACACATTGCAGTTCCCAAATCTTCTTATGATTCACTACCCAAGAGGAAGGGCTGCCCAGGAAAACACTGTTACAACTTTGTGAGCCACAGAGAGGGCTTATCAGGCTCTACTCACTTTCTCCAGCTGTTCAATGCAGGGTGTATGCACTACGATCTTGCAGGCTGCACACTTACGCCTGGAGAGAGGTTTTTGCTGGAGGATGAGAAAAGGGGAATGAAAACATGCGTGTGAATAACAGTGTTCAGAGGCCAGCAAGTTCAGCCTCCCATCACACCTCCTTCATGTATTTCAGGATGTAGAACAAGTCCTGTAGGAAAGCTAGACATAACCTAGACTCCTTGCAAGTGAAGGGATCCAAGCATGTGCCTAGAGCAGATGGTCTCAAGTCTGGGACAGAGCAGGGAGGTGCTCTCCTGCTGTCCTGTCCCCTAGTCCTTGGCTTCCTCTGACACTGCCTGAGAGCACCATGGAGGCCAGTCTGGGAGGCACCTGCAGGGCTCCCATGAGCAGGCACAGGATGGCATCACTGCTCCGTGTCCCACAGGACTGAGCCTGCAAGCTGGGAGGAAGGACTGCAGCAACCCCGTAAGATCAGTGCTGCCTGCAGGGTGAAGAGGCAGCAGGCCTGGGTCTCCAGTGCTCACTTTTCTTCTCTACTGAAAGGTCTTGTTCAGATTGTCTCTAAGGGCATGGGACCCCAACGGCCTCTCCCTAGAATATCATCGTATCACTTCCAGGCGAGCGGCAAGCCTGCCTCAGGTTCCCAGTGCTAACAGAGCACCAGCACTGGCAGAAACTGGGGATGTAGCCCTCCAGCGCGCAGTGGTAGGAGGGACACGCTCGCAATGCCTTAGCGGCCTCCTAGCCCCCTGCACAGCCCCCAGCAGCAGCAGCGGGGCCTTTGCGGTCTCCCCGCCGGGTGGCAGCACAGTCCACATCTGCGGCCCTGGCCAGGAGGACAGCGGGTGACTCACCAGCAGCTTTGCCATACAGTTCTGCTCCCCAACGTAGCAGAAGTCCCCAGAGACATTGGTCTCAAACCAGATGTGCTCCCCATAGACCGCAGTCTCCTGAAAGGCACAAGACAACAAGGTTTTCTGAGAGCACTTCCCAGACAGGCATCTGAGCCCCTAAAATGCTTTGTGCGAGGGACAAGATACTGGACATTGGCAGGGGAGTGGGAGGTTGGAGCTAGGTACAGGAGACAAGATGCACAGAACAACCAGGGCCAACATCTGGACAGAGGAACCTCAGGAAGCTGCTGCTGTTGGAAATGAGAGGGCCTCAGGAAACCACCTCCAAGGCCTACAGCCCAGTATTCTGCACAGAGGTGCTGCTTCCATCACCCCCTGAGAGGAGGCAATGGGGCAAATTCAATGCAAGGGACTCTCCTGAAACAGCTTCTGTTCTACGACCTCAGGGTGCAACTTAAAAACCTGCCAGGATTTGTCTGTGAAGGAGCAGGGGCTTGCTCCTGTTCCTTGGCCCTAGCCACCAGAAGACTTTGGCTGCCAGGAGCAGAAGAGCTGACAGTGGAGGACCTATGCCATCCTCCCAGGAACCACCTGTGCCTGCACAGCCTCTCCTTGCAGCATTAAAGGGTGCTGCCAGCAGCACAGATGCTAGCACCAGCTGGTGGCAATGGTGGAGGCCATAAATGTGTCAAAGCTGAAGTCACCTGGGAAGCCTCAGCCTGGGAAGAGCCTGCTGCTTCTTGGCCGGGAGCCCATTCCATGCAATGCCCAGTAAAATGCGCTACAACTTACACTCCAGTCCACAGCGCTGCGTATCTGCCTCTCCGAGTCGCTCCTCATGGCTACTGCAGGGTTTGGCTGGGCTACCATGTGCTGGAGGCTGGACTTGGCAATAGCTTTTCTGGAAGACACATGAGGGCTGGCTATTAGATCAGGAGGGGAGGAATAGGTGCAAAGCACAACCTGCTTCTAGGATGGACAGTGAGGCTGGAGCAGGAAAGCATTCTCAGGACCAAGTGGCTGGAAATGAGGAGAACCTCCAGCACAGCTGGCTAAGGAGCATCTGCTCCTCTGAGGAAGCCCTGTGGGATGAAGTGGCACTGGCACATTGCTGACAGCTCAGCAAAGGGCACAGCCTGGGCCGCAGGGTCAAAGCCCTCAGGGATGATGGCTCCATTGCAAAACAGCCTGAGAGGCTCCACTGAGCTGTGGTGGTAGGGCTGCCTCTGCAGGGACAACCCAGAGCCCATGCCCCACAGAGGGTCCCCACAGCTCTCCCATATCAAGGCACCTCAGAGCCTGGGGCATTTTCAGGGAGCAGCACAACTGGCTGGAAAAAAAGAAGCTGTTTTTTGGGGGCTAGCTAGCTTCTCTCAGGTGTACTAGGGTGGAGGAAAGGAGCAGCAGAGCCAACTAGCTGGAGAAAGTGTGCAACTCCAGCCCACAGCCAAGCCTGCCACCTCCCTCAAGCCTCGAACTGGGAGGAGGGGATGTCTGCAAGCCCTGGGTGCTACACTGAGAGCATCAGAGGCAGTGGGAGATACTCAAGGGACACAAGTAGCACTGCAAGACACCGATGGCAGCCAGGGCCAATGGTACCGAGCCCCTTC